CTGGTTTCAGAACAACACTCACAGTGCCTAATGAGAACTGAACCTGCAGCCCTATTGGCTGGACCTACAGCCCTACACTGGCTGATCCTGAGACCCGTGAAGAGAGACTTGCCCCCATGGTACATCACTGAGAGTTGGGGTTTGATTTGTTATACAGCGTGATCAAAAGATTGGTGCATGAAAACTGCTTCCTCATGTTTGTAGTACTGGTGACCTGCCATGTGCAGGGAAAGCAAGTGCCTAGCCACTGAACTATACCCCGAGATACTTTTGCACTTTTAATTTTGAGACAGGGACGTCAGGGCCCATAGAAATAGCTCTGCTTCATCTTGGCTTAAGGTCAGAGAGATCAAACCCGCTATTGCTCTCTCAAGGCTAAACAACTGGATATTTGGCCTAAGAACTAGCTAATGGATGTCTTACTTTAGCAACGGGATATTCAGCCTAAGGTGTGGCTATTGTCTATCTTGCCTTGGCAAGAGGATACTTGATGTTTTGGGTATCGAGAAGGTGATTATGCTTGCTCTTTGTATCTTGGTAAGGAAGTCTCTTTGCCTTCCCCCACTTTTGATTGGGGCATACGAAGATTGTGTGCAGTAGTCTTGAGGCTTTCTCCCCAGTATTCACTGGAGTGCCCTCCTGATTCTATCCTGTGTCTCTGTCTTTTCTATAATTATCTATAATTTTCTGGCCTCCATTTCTTAATCCACATGCTTCCTTCCAAACGCAGACAAGGCGAATAAGCCCAGTGGGCCCGGCTGTCGTAGTCTCCAGGACATGGAACACTACACGGGGACTCACTAAATTGTCCATCCTGGTCTTGCGCTTGCTCTGTAGTTCAGACAGACCTTGAACTTGTGATCCTCCTGCTTTGGCCTCCGGATTTCAGGACTGTGCCACCAGATCCAACAGCACTACTGTATTTAAAACCCTGTGTACCCATAAACACAAACACAATTTTATAGATACACCTAGAATTTATGATGTGCTATATTTGTTATAGAGGTTTTCGTGTTTTTTCTTTTCCTTATTACATTAGTTACTCTTTTGTTCTCCCCTCATATTCATGGAGGTCCCTTTTCCTTTCCAAGCAGTGCATGTTGTCAATCTACTACATGCCTATCTTTACTCCGTTGGCTAGTTCTATGTTAACTTGGTGCAAACTAGAGCCCTCTGAAAGGAGGGAATCTCAACTGAGACACTTCCTCCATAAGGTCAGGCAGCAGGCAGACCCGTAGAACATCCTTAAAATTAGTGATAAGTGGGGGAGAACCCATTGTGGGCTGTTTCACCCCGGGGCTGTGAGAACAGGTTGAGCAAGCCACAGGAAGCCCACCAGTGAGCAGCACTCCACTGTAGCCTCTACAGCTCCACACTCCCACCCCGCGTGAGTCTTTGCCCCGACTTCCTCAGGTGATGAGCAATGATGAGGAAGCACAAGGAAAATAGTCCTTTGGTCCCTGTGTTTCACCGTCGCAATAGAAACCTAAGACACTCATTGAACATGACAGACAGTGTGAGCCAGCTAGCTGAAACATCCCAGGTGACTGTATCAGTGTGTGCTGCACATGTGTACACACACACACACACACACACACACACACACACACAACATACACACACACACACACAACATGTGCTCATGTGTATACACACACACACAACATGTGCTCATGTGCATACACACACACACAGATTCTGTCATTTTTGAACTTTCAAAACTGGCACAATGTTACCAACATTGTGGCTTTCTTACTATTTTTACACAGAATCCCTTCATGCCTCAAATCCCAACTTCTCTTAGTGTGCCAACGTTCTCTCTGTGGCACTGTGCTGCTAGCCTCCTCTCTGGCTGCAGTCCTGTTGCCAGGCATTCTGAGAGTGCCAATGGTGTGTGTGTAGACCAGCCTCCACTGACACTGTCCTCCAGGACATCCTGTCCTGGTATGGTAGCCGGATGACGGTTGCTATGTTTCGGTAGGTGGTACCAGCTTCTCTGAGTTCTGGGACGATTTATACTGTCGACTGTCAACAGCATTTAAGGAAATATTTCCCTGCACCACTCACCAGGAATAAGTGATTTTGTCAACTATACAGGCAAAAGCAGTCCTCTGTGTTTTCTGACCACCTTCCCGTGTCTTGACTGTTGGGATCTTGAGATCTTTTCTCCTCTCTGTTGTGTTGTCTCATCTCATACTTGCTGAAATCTAGAAGCTTTGTTTTTTTGCACATTTCGGATATTGATCTTAACCATACATTGAAATTTTTTCTTACTTTAATGTTTGTTCACTGATTGGGTTTGGGTTGTTGCTTGCCATTCATTCCAAGACAGTATCGTGATGTCAAGACTGAGGCCTACCTCTCATTTCTCCACACCTCTCCCTCAGTCTTCCCTCTTCTCTTCTCCACCTGCCTCAGTGTGGCTGCTTTTCTTCTCCCTTGTTTTTCTCAGTCCTTCCCCGCTGCCCCTCCTTACCGCCGCTTGTCCTTAGGTGTGGAGACGTCTGCTTGGTCATTTACACAGCCATGAAAGAGTTAAGTCGGCTAGGAGCAGCAGAAAGAGGCACCAAAGCCATGTTCTCAGAGTTGGTTCCAGACCTTCTGCAGAGCCTGATCCTGGGTCTGGTGTGGGATACCGATGGGGGGCGGGGCAGGAAGGTCCAGCGCACAGTTAAGGCCTGTACGTTAAGGTTGGGACGGAGAGCCGGACAGTCTATCGATCCCCAGTGTCCATAACTTGCTTAGGAAACTGGAATCCAAGTTGTTGAAGTCACAGATAACCTGCTTCAGCAACTACCCGGCTCAGCCCACGCCACCAGAGGAACTGAAGCCCCACAACTGAAGTCCTCCAAATGGCCAGAAGGTGGCAGGGTGGCTCTGTGCCGCTGGCCACCAGTGGGTACAGAGAATGCCAAAACCAGAAGCTGTGAGATAGAGGGACACTCATGACCCACAGAGCCTGGCCCTCTGACGATTAAGTTCACCCAACATTTATTGAAATGAGTTATCTCATGTCAAATACTGTCCTGTTCTTCCATTTAGTCTTCATGGAAGCCCCAGGTAGGCAAATTATTTCCCTCCTACCAAACAGGGTAATTTCTATTCATTCAGCTGGAGCGGTCTTGCAGTGAACTTGTAAAGGTGGCCACACAACCCTTGGGGGTGGCCTCTGGCAGACAGAATTGGAAAGAGGGAAGCTTGAGGCGTGGCTTTCCTTGGTCGGGTCTTTCTGGTGGGTCAGCCAATGAGGTAGGAAGGGCAGAGAGGTCCTCCCACGGCTCTTTATATTTTTCTGTGTAATTGTTCTCCAGTAAACACCCATTTATCATTTATCTTCCATCTAGTGAAATAAATACAAACTCACCTTCAATTGGCACCCAATGTGGGGCTTGAACCCACAACCCTGGGATTAAGAGTCCCATGCTCTACCGACTGAGCTAACCAGGCACACTTCCCTCTTTCTGCTTCTGTCTGCCCGAGCCACACCCAAGGGATGTGTGGCCACCATTACAAGTTCACTGAAAGACCTCTACATTTAGTTGTAGGTACTCTATAGGTACTGTTTATTTGATTCTCAGTGTATTAATACAAGAGACACTCTCTTCATTAGTCTATTCATGATGATGGTTGCTTCCCTGTCTCTTTGTCCCCCAACCCTCCCAGCGTCAGTAATAATAACAGAGCTAGGCAAGAAAACTTAAGTCCACAGTTGTTTGTATTCTAACAGGTCACTGAGGAAGCAGAGAATGCCTGGTGACACAGAGGTCCTGGGGTGGTCTGTGACATTCACCTAGGTCAAAGGGTGTATGCAGACTCAGTGCAAGATCTTATTTGGCTAATGTGACATTATTGAATGATCTAACTCAGGGGTTTTCTGGGGGACATTGCCCCCGACAACTCCTTTCTTTGCATCTTCATGTATCTTTCCTTGGCCACATGCTTGGTTGGTGCCTGCCAAAGGGCTGTGCCTGGCTGGTGGCCACTGAGAGGCTCTCCCCTGTTCATCCCTCTCTGGTGCTGCTTCCCTCCAGATGACTCTATAACCATCACACTGGCTGGTGGCCACTGAGAGGCTCTCCCCTGTTCATCCCTCTCTGGTGCTGCTTCCCTCCAGATGACTCTATAACCATCACACTGGCTGGTGGCCACTGAGAGGCTCTCCCCTGTTCATCCCTCTCTGGTGCTGCTTCCCTCCAGATGACTCTATAACCATCACACTGGCCATAGGCTTCATACCTGTGCTAGGCACATCCACCCATCTGTCTGTTCACTGGTCTGTCCATCCATCCATCCATCATCCATCAGTCTGTCCATCTGTCTCTCCATCCATCCATCCATCCATCCATCTGTCCATCTGTCCGACCATCTGGCTGTCCATCTCTCTGTCCATCCATCCATCAGTCCATCCATCCATCAGTCCATCCATTCATCTGTCCATCCACTCATCTGTCCATCCATCCATCCATCCATCCATCTATCCACACTGATGTTTCCAGCTCCCAGTCAAGGCCTGTGATTGTCAAGGCTAAATTTAACTCACAGCTGCTGCATCAGACTCTGGTATTTTCAGTGAGGCATCTAGGGCCACTAAGCTGGAAGCCTCCAAGGGCTGCTGGCCAGGGCTCACACCCATGCTTCCAATTGGGCTCATCAGCCAGGCTGTTCTGAGAACTTGTTTCTTCCCCTCCCTTCCTTTCAAGTTTTTTTTAAGATTATAACTATATCATTTCATCCTTCCCTTTCTTCACTCTAAATCCTCGATTGTACCACCCTGCACAGCACCCCTGCTCTCTTTCAAATTCTAGCCTCTTTCTCTTTAATTTTTGTTGTTGTTGTCGGTGGTGTGTGTGTGTGTGTTCCTAAGTACATAAATATAGCCTGCTCAGCCTTACTTGTGTATGTTTCTAGGGCTACTTGGTATTGGATAACCGACTGGTGTTCTCTTCCCTGAGGAAGGTTTTCAAACCCCTATCAGGGCACTCCCCGGTTGGCTGCAGTTCTCTGTTCAGGGCTAAGACCTCTTGACCTTCCCCTTCCGCATTAGCAAGGCTACTGGTGTCCTCGTTTGGGTCACACTTAGGTGGCCATGTTGATGAGATTGCAGTCTGAGGAGGCAGTCTGAGAACAGCATCACCGCTTTGGTCTGAGGTAGAGGTAAGAGCTAGTGGCTGGCTGCTTTTCTTCTCTGATCTTTCAACTTTCCCTCTCTGGTAGCTGACTCCGGGTTTTCATAATTAAGACCAACTAGAGCTCATGCTACAAGACTTCATGAGCATAGTTTCCCTCCCTTATTAAATGGTGCTGGAATTGGAGGAAGTGGCAGAGTGGAGAGCAGGAGGCGGGTCTGGGGACCCTTGGGTGCTCTGTCATGCTTCTGCTCTCCCAGATCAGCAGGGCCGCTCTGGTGTGCCACAGGAAGGGAGCACAGGCTGCATCCCCCATGCAGGGGCTGCCGGCTGCCCTGTGCTCTCCTGGCCTCTGTCCCTGAGTCGCTGTCCAGGGGTCTGCCAGGCTTGCTACGAGTTCGTATGCTCATTAATCACCCATGCCTTTCCTTATTGGAGCACTCCTGGGAAGCCCTGGCCCACCGTACTCTGAAAGTTTCCAGCCTCGTCCTCCTGGCCAAGGTCCCAGTTATGTGGAAAACCACAGGCTCTCAGTGTCCATTACAAGCAGGAGAAGAAAATGACCCCAGAAGTGTGGCAGGCAGAAGGGAGGGAAATGGTGACCTCTGGGTCTTGGGGAGCAGGGTGGAGGAGGAGGCCGCTGCCCAGAGCCATCACTCTGACCAGGGTAGCAGGCTGTCAGATGTCTCAACTCCTATGCGAGGCCAAGGGAAACAGGTCCTTCAGAGCGAGTGTCCCTGATGGCTGGTACCTGACTCTCAGGGTGCTCTGTGAGTGCACACTCGATGGCATCTTCAGCACTCAGCTCCACCCCAGGAGAAGCCTCTGGACTCTGTTACAGACAGGTGAGTTGTGGCACTCAGAGGCTGTTGCTTTATGTCTGGGTCCCAGGCTTCCCCTGATTAACCCTGGAAACCCTCATTTCCACCCCACAAGTGCTGGCCACAGCTAAGTGTCATATCCTGGACTCAGCACTAACTTTAACACACCCCTACAGTCCCATTCTACAGATGAGTACATGGAGACCAGACAGGTCATGTGGCTTCCCCACAGACACGCAGGATTTGAATGTGAGTGCTGTGACACGAAAGTCCAGTCCCCTCGATGCTGTGAAGACTCACAGTCCTTCAGATGCCTGTTTCTTGCCTATATCCTGTGCTAACTGGGTTATGGTATTTATTAAAGAGAACCCTTCAAGACATCAAAGATTGGACACGCCCCCTCAGCTCCCTCGAGTTCGCCCTGGTGGAAACTCTAAGGCAAGCAAAACAACAGTGACAGGGAGCCTAAGGACTGTAGAGACCACTGTTAGGTTTAAAATCCCCGGTTATTGGAAACCTGCCCCCGCTGATGTAATAATAAGTCAGTCACACCGAATTAATAAATCTAGGTTTAATCTGAGCAAAGCATTCCTGGGTGGCCCAGGGGAGAGGAAAAACCACCAGGTGAACCCAAAGGTGGGGTCCTTTAATGCCCTTGGGGGATGGAGCCGCCAATGGTGGGCCTTTTAGGGGCAGAGTCTGGACTGGGGCAACTCCAGGGGAGGGGCCCATCGCTTGGCACTCTGAGGGCAGGATTTGGAACGGGACAGAGCTGGAGACCCTAAACAGCCACCACACAGGGAAAAACCTGGGTCCGGAGCTTCCAGCCAGGGAGGAATTTCAGGGCAAGCCACTAGGAGGCAGAATTGGAAGAATAAAGCCTGCCTGCGAACACAGCTGTGGGTTCCAGATGCGTCTGGCTCACTGCGGCAGGTTTCTAAGGGACACTCCTTTCTCAGCATCAGGAACCACATATGCTGTACAAAGGGTTTAGGACCTATTTTACTGTAAGTGTGTTTTCTGGTGAAATCCTAGAAAATCTCAGGTTTACAGGAGAGTAAAGGCCTTACACAGATGTCAGTCACTGTGCTGTAATTCTTGAGTCTCAGCTGGTGAGAGCACTGACCCCCACTCCCCTGCCCCAATTCTGAGTGGAAGGAAGGCTCCTTTCTCTTTTCAGGTCCACACCATTTTCCATGGCTTTCTCTCCTGCCTCCGAATGCACAAGTCTCTCACTTGAGTGTCCAGAAATCCTGCCACTGCAGAACAAGAGCAGGAAACATGACTCTTTGGCAAGGTTTGTTACACTTCGTGGCCACCAGTTGATGGGATATATATATCCTAAAAGAATATATATATATATATATATTCTTTTAGGCTAATGAACTGTTCAACCAATGAGGCAGGAAGACAGGCGGGACTAGGAGACAAGGAGAATTCTGAGAAAGGTAGGCAGAGATGGCCCCCTCCAGAACAGTCATCACGTAGGCTGCCAAAGGAGTAGCAGGTCTCCGATAAGATAAGACCACATGAAAATACTAAGATTAATAGAAATGGGTTAGTAATTAAGACAGAGCTAGCCAATAAGAAGCCCTAGCCCCAGACCAACAGTTTCATAATTAATACAGCATCTCTGTGTGTTCATTTGGAGCTGAAGGTAGCAGGACCCCATGTGGACGAGAGAACCTGTCCGCAGCAAGCAGTCATTAGGACAATGACACTAAACTAGTGCCATCAGGGTGTCCTAGTATAATTTGTTAATGTAGCAGATGGCTGTACCATAAGGTCTAATTTGTCCCTAAAGACTCTTGATATATGTAGCTTCTTAGAGTCAGTAACCAGCTTTGGGAATTTAAAATCAGCATAATGTTGTTTAACTAAGCCCTCTAAGCAAGTCATAGTACTTGAAGAATTTCCAGGTATGACAACCCACTTTTGAAAGAAATGTAAATTTAGATAGGTTAATGATTTAAAAATCAACTCAAGGCCCCCTTTTTCGATCACCATTTCTGTAGTGACATTACTAAGTATCTCAGTTATTTTTTGCATGGGTATATATCTGTATTTTCTTCAAAGGTGTGTGAGAGTACATGTGGATGCCAGAGACCGACATCAGGTGTCTTTAGTTGCTCTCCACATTGTCTTTTGAGGCATGGCTTCTCACTGAAACCCAGAGCTCACCAATTTAGCTAGTCAAGCTTGGTAGCTTGTTCCATAGAACATGAGTCACTGGCATTGAAATCAGGCCCCCATGCCTGTGTGACAAATGAATTACTCACTGGGCCATTTCTTTACCCCATGTATCCTGTTTTAATCCCTGTCTGTCCAAGACAAATGATTGTTTTATTGAAAATTAAAAATTCAGGAACCAGGGAGGTTTTGTTGTCTTTACTCTGCTTAGTGTGTATTGGCTGCTGCCTGGTGGCCCGTGACTACTCCTTATTCTCAACTTTATCATTGGTTTTGTTCCCGGGTTGTTGTTTGCATATAGTACATGTCTCAGTTCTGCTTTTTATCACACTCACTTATATTAAAGTAGTTGGTAGGTTTTACTTTGTTTTTTAAACTTCAATATTTGTATCTATACATAATATGCTTCATGATATGATTTTGATACTTTCATTTTTTTTGCTTGTCTTTTGAGACAGGGTCTTTACACATAGCCCTGGCTGGCCTGAAACTCACAATGTAGACCAGAATGGCCTTGAACTCACAGAGATCCTCCTGCTTCTGCCTCCTAAGTGCTGGGATCCAAGGTGCGCACTGCTACCCCAGTGGTATTCATTTCTAAAGTGTATTTACTGTTGTTTTTACTCAACTTGCACCTCATATTCCACTAATTAATTCTTATAGCTTGATCAAGTAGCCATTTACTTCCTTTCATTATGAATTTTTATGGCTTTGATAGAGTATAATTGCTATAAAGTAAACAACAGCTTAACGTCTGTAAATTCAGGGCCAGTGAGATTGTTTCGCCAGGAAACGAGCTTGGCACACAAGCACCCCCGGGAGCCTGGATCTGAGCCTGGATCCCACAGTAGAAGGGGAGAGCCAGCTGTTGGAATCTGCCTCTGCCCCCCCCCACGTGCATGCCATGCACAGAGCCACATCTGCAGGCCACGCTGTTGGAAGCAGCGTCTTACTGTGTGTAGCTCAGGCTGCACTTGACCCTGCCCTGCCTTCTGAGTGCTGGGGTTGCAGGTGTAGACCCTGTGTCCAGCTTCACTTCCATTGTTGACATGTTTTCCCAGGTTGTAGACATTATATTTTCTTTCAGTACTTTGAATATTGCTTCGTGTTTTTTATTACTTGCATTGTCTTCAACAACAGCATCAAAATGGTAAAAATAGTTACTATTGTTCCTCTGAATAAAGAGCATCTTATTTCTTCTGTGGCTATTTGTAAATTTTTTTATCTTAAATGTTTATTTATAGAAACTTTGCTGTGCTGTATCTTGGTAAAATTTTTCCATGTGTTTTATGCTAGAGTTTATGGAACTTCTCAGGTCTTTTAGCTACATCACACACATACAAACACACACACTTAGTTTTTTATTACTGTGAAGAGACACCCTGGCCATGGCATCTCATAAAGGAAACATTTAACTGGGATGGCTCAGTTACACGTTCAGGGTTCAGTCCATTATCACCAGGACTGAGAGCATGGTGGCTGCAGGCAGAAGTGGCGCTGGAGCTGAGACTCTACATCTTACAGGCAACGGGAAGTCAACTGACTGTCACACTGAGGGAAGCTTGAGCAAAAGACCCCAAAGCCCATCCCCACAGTGACACACTTCCTCCATCAAGGCCACACCTCTTAGTAGTGCCACTCCCTTTGGGGGGCCATTGTCTTTCAAACCACCACAGTGTGTGTGAGTGTGTGTGCATGTGTGAGTGAGTGTGTCTGAGTGTGTGCATGTGTGTGTATGAGTGTGAGTGCATGAGTGTGAGTATTATGTGGCTGGTGCTTTAGCAACGGAACCATCTCTCCAGCCTGCAGTCAGGACTGTCCTGGAGCCTGCCTACTGCACTCTTCAAGGATATGCTACTGTTATATGAAGCACCCAGAACCTCAAGAGGTACCCTCTCCAAGACCTAGGCCCTCTCCATCAATTATTCATCAAAAGATGCACCACAGGCTTGTCTACAGGCCTATCCAGTCTAGGCATTTTCTCAACCAAGGCTTCTTCATCCACAATGACTCTAGTTTTTGTCAAGTTGATATAAAAGTAGCCAATACAGCAGCTAACAACAGACTCTTACTCTGCCCACTACTGGGTTAGGCACTATCTCTCAATATTATCTCTTCAAATGATTCTAGGAACCAAACCTATCATGGGGGTCCACTACTATTGTTATTTTACAAATGGGAAAGTTGAGGCCTGGACAGGCTATAAAACTTCCCAGGGAGCACACATGACAGTTAATTTCCCTGGTCAAACTGTCCTCTGCCAGCGTGGACAGCCCAGGGTAAAGAGGTCCGAGGGAAAAGCAATGCCTTTTGCCTGTGTGCCCTTGCTTCTCATGCTCGGTGTGCCTGATTCTGCTGTCGCCAGTCTTGTGATCTTACCCTCCATCTTCGTCAGCCTTTCAGCGTGGACTGAAGGCTAGTGGCTCTTCAGGACACCCCCAGGCCTCCAGTGTTGGACTGGGCCCAGTAAGCATCCAGGCCTGAGCATGCTGAGTTCCCGGTCTCGGGAACTGTTGAACTACCTAGCTCTTATCATCTAAGGCAGTCTAATAGATGCCCTCTGTGACATTTCCTCATGTTCTGCTCCTCTAGAGACCCAACTGATACAGAAAGTTACAGAATGAGAATTGGAGCTACAATAGTGAATCGAAAGCATTGTGTTTAGGTAAGAATGATGGATTTTCTTATACCTAGAACCTTCTGATTTTTTACAGTCATAAATTGTTGAGGACTGCTAAGAACCTTGAACAAAATGGAGTCAATCAGCCATTTCTTGGCCTTCTGCCTACGTGACTGTGGGCACACATGCCCTTGAGACAAAGGAAAAAGCTAACCACAAAAGTTAAATTTACACAGGGCAGCCCACCCGCCTAGCCAGGGGGAAGTAACCCTTATAGAACAATTGCCTTTGTTGGCAAAGGGTTAATGTGTTCCTTTGGATGCTTTTACCATAATGATAGGCGGAAGTAACCCTTATAAAGCAATTGTCTTTGTTAACAAAAAGTTAATGTGTTCCTTTGAATACTTTTTACCACTCCCTAATTCCTGCACCTGGCTTACACTGACAAGCATTTGTGGAATGCAACTGATGGAAAATTACAGCTTCGTCTTTACCTTATTTGGTGTATAGTTGAGTTGAGACTTGATTGATATGCTTGTACCGCCCCCTGAGATTCTCTTCCTATAAAAACCATTTCACCCCCACGAATAACTGCTCTTGATCAGCAAAAGTTGTCTTGAGCCTGTTTCCCTTAACCTCTTGAAGTTTGCTTTTAAGATCGGATCGGCTCGTGAAGACCCACCAAATTAGTAGCCCCCTCATCACCTCATCCCCGCGGGTTGGGGGGTCCCCTCCGGGGGTCGCAATAAATCAACTCATATTCAAATAGAACAGATATATGTGTGCTCTTTAAAGATTGAAAGAAAAGAAGACAAGAAAACACACCATCAACAATTTTCAGGAATCAAACAATTTTGAATTTTGGGTTTGGTAACAACTTTTGGGAAATTTGAACACTGACATGCTATGTTTTGTTAATAAGTTCATGATTTATTTTCAGAGAACAAAAAAGGAGGCAGTAAGTAAGAAAGTTTGCTTCAGACCTGATCTAGTGTTTGTATTAGAGTTATTAGGAAGAGAATTAAGTTACAAGAAGCCAAGTCCCCACCAAGGATCACGGTGTGCCCTTGGCTATGACCTCCCACAGCAGCAATGCTTGGCCTGGAACTTAGAAGTTTAGCTAAAAGAAAGTCTAAGTCCTGTTAGCATCCTTCCCCAAAGCCCACAAACTAATTGAGTTATTGTAGATGCATGCAGTTCACTCATTCTATCTAGAGTTGGTTGTTGTCTTTTTGTTTTGTTTTTAAAACAAGCTTTGAGATGTATTCCAGGCTGGCTTTCAATTCAAGATCTTCGTGCCTCAGCCTCCTGAGAGCTGGGACTTCTCAAGCATGTGCCACCACATCTAATTATTTTCAATGTTTTCAGGCTTTTGAAAATATCTATTTTATTTCCTCTTCTGAGTCCTTACTTTTCTTGATGAAACGATGGTCTTACATTTTTGTATATTTTCTACTTTACAAGGACCACTAGCTTATTACTCTTGGCAATCTTGTTATACTCTGAGGGAAGATACTCCATTTTCAGCTCAGAAACTCAAGCTCCTGTTATTTCCCTGAAGCATCTTGGCTAATGTTGATGGATCCTAAAGGCTCTCTTGGGGGAGGGCTGGGAAGCTGCAGTGCCAACAACACAGACTCTGGGAGTCACATGAGAAAGGAAACAGCCGACTAATTTATTTGGCAGTGGGGAACCTTATACATACCCCAGCACCCAGGTGTTCTGATCAGCTGGCATCCTGTACCTCCTCCTCAGCTGGGCAGGATGAGGACCTCTGCCGGCACCAGGCAGACTCCGGGTCGGCTCCTCTTGGCCTGGTAGGTCTTAACTTCCTGTGTAGCCACTCTTTTTTTAATTATTACAAGGGTGCTCATGGGAAGTCAGAGTTCATGGCTCAGGCCTTGCTGACCCCATCTCAGGAGGGCTCAGTTACTGGACACTTCCTGTCTTAGGTTTGCCTGCCGATCAAGCTCTACCTGTCATTGACCACCAGCCCTGGAAGAGCTTCATTCCTGGAGAGTTGCGGGGGGGAGGCGAGGGGGGGGTGGCTAGGCAGTAGCCTTTTGAATTTCAGATAGCCAGGACTGAATAGCCTCCTCTGGAGGACCGCAGGAGTGATGGATGCCCAAGAGCCATTAACTCTGAAGAGTCACCTCAGTTGCTGCCCCTGCTGTCGAATACGCTGCAGGAGACATTTAAAGAGCACAAGGATTAACAATACCACCCCGCCAGTTAAATGCATATGTGATTATCCTGGAGGGATCAAGTAGCCTTTTTATATTATGCCAAACTTTTCAAAAAAACAGAGTCAAAGGCTATAACCTCTGCCCTTGTCTGATTTAACGAAAATAAACCAATTTGCTTGTGGGGACAAGAAAGGGGAGTATATACATTACCCATCCTGGGTTATTCCCTCCTTGGTGGAAGCAGGCTGATCCATGGCCAGGTATACATCTCTTATTCGGGACCCATATTGATAATGTGACAGTCTGAGGAAAAACACAAGCATACCGTCACCCACCCACCAGTAAGCAGTGGGGTGGTGGCTGCCATTGGAGGGAGATAGGATCCCTCCAACTCACCAAGGGCAGAGGGGGGGGGTGCGTTCCTTGACGGAGACGCCCCGTACTTGTAGGTCTGGCTGAGCTGCTTGTCATCAAAACTGAGAAAGTTCATATGGAAAAGGACCTCTGTAAGGCCAGATGAGGATCTCTCTTAGCCTCTGGTGAGACAGTCCTGGCCAACAGTTCCGTAAGAGCTCTCCTGGTCCTCTCTGCAATGGCTTGTCCCAGCCAATTGAAGGGGGGTGCCAGCAGTATGGGAAATCTTCCATGACCTCAGAAAGCCATTGAATTGTTGAGAGGCATAGACAGGGCCATACATGCAGATGCGTAGACACACATACACTTGCAAATAATTAAAAATAGTATAAATATGCTAAAATTGTAATAATATTCTACTGAATATATGCCACATCTATCACCTATCTATCATATATTTCTCTATCTATAATCTATTTTACTTATAAGTCTGTCTATATATACTTCTACCTCTTGGTTCTTAAGAATAACGCTGCCTTGTACACATACATATGTGCAAGTGACTGTCCAAGCCCCTGCTTTTATTTCCTAGGCTATATTCCCAGCCTAGGATTTTGAGTGGTGTTTTCAACTTGATGGCATCATTATGAACCAGGTACAATCAATGTCGTGGGCCCCACGTTCCTTCTGGAAACTTCAGAGATTGCTGTTGAGAAATTTTTTGTTCACTGTGGGAAACTTAAACATTATTAATACCAAAACAGAAAGTTTACATTTTAAGATAGATATTTATCCAAAGAAAGGTACTAAAGAGTCAAAAATAAGTAAGGGGAGAAACAGTTTTGGGGAGATAACAGAGTTTTGACAACGATAGTCCCTAGATTTTTGGTTTTCTTCTGTCCCACACCAGGTGGCTCTTCTACAGGAATTCTGAATTTTTCTTCTAACAACATGCTTGGGTTTTGAGAAGGAGCGAGCCAGCTTTGCTTTTTAATTGAGTTGTGACTACAGCTTTTCTGAGGAGTGTAGCTATACAGATGTTTAGGTAGTGAGATCTAATATGTGCCAGGCACCAGGGCTCTGTCCCCTGACTTAAGACGTCTCGTATGAGCAGTACACTGCTGATAATGGGGCCAGTGAGTCTTTGACTTGAGAAAGTTCAGCATGAATTGCCTGTACAGCGTAAGGGCTATCAGAAAAAAATGTTAATGCGCTTGGTCTGGCACTCCACTAGAACCTCGAGGAGGGCCAATAGCTCACCCAATGAATGGAACCAGGCTTAGGGATGACATATGTAGCATCTTTGGAGCCAGGATGCTGAATAAGAACACCATATATGTTTTTATTGGAATCTGAAAAGGCCAGGGTAGCATGAGGGATAGGAGTGGAAGAAGGGACGGCACGGGGCTGTATCTTTATTGGCTAAGATCTTGTTTTTTGGCGAGTGATTGTCAATTAGTTTGATAGTATATCCAAAATGATAGTATCAGATAAACCATTCAGTCCAGGGATGTCCAGGAGATGAATCAGTCCTGTCCAGTTAATCTCTAAAAGTGGTTTTCTAAGGAAGAAGACGGACAACGCTCCAATCAGGGCATGTCGCCAATCAGGGCTCCAGGACCCCCCGCATTGTCCCATAAATCTGAACACTTTTCACAGCAGCTCCAAATCAGTCTCGTATTTCCTATAAAACTAATCTGAAGGCCCAGAATAATTTATCTTTTGTCTACATTTTCAGAGTCTAAGGGGCTGCTACCCACGTTCTCTTTCATGACGGTGAAGGTGCTGAAGAGGGCTTTTGCTCCCCACACAGCTGGTTCTGTGGTTTTTGGAAAGAGCTTCTCTACGAAGTGACAAATAAAGGGACACGCGTGCTTTACCATCTTATTTACCCATGCTACACTTTCGGTGTCTGGAAAATGTACCCAGGTGGGCAGATCGCTGGCCCGCACCCCCAGGAGCGCAGCTGGCTCCTGGTCCTCCAGCAGCGGCAGCGCACAGCACGGGTGGCTGACCTCGAGACCGCCGCTCCGGTGGCACCAAACAAGAAGCCCGAGCTCCAGCAGCAGCCAGCTGAAGCTCAGCCCAGGGTGTCCACGGGCGGGCGGCAGCAGCTCAGAGCTGTGCACCAGCTGCCCCAGCCGCTCGGGTGAGTCCACACTCAGCGCACTGCCCGGGCCCGGCCAGCACGGGGCTCTGGGTGCCTTCCTAACTGGACGGGCAGACACACAAGACAGACAACACGAAAGAAGGGAAGACAAGGGGGTCCCGAGGCTTACTCGTCAAAGGTCCTCTCCCTGAAATACACCGATTTAGGGGTACTGTCCAGCACCGCGAGCGAGGAGAGGGAGACACTAGAACTCGTTCTGGGCAACACCCCAAAATTACAGCGGCAGCAAAGTTGATGGACCTGACTTGGGGAGCTCAAAACCTATGCCCCGAGTGCCTGTTCAGGGCACCAGATGTTGCTAGGTCCTAAGGGCTCCCTCAGAGGAAGAGCTGAGAAGGCGCCATTCCAACCACACAGACACTGGGAGTCAGGTAAAAGAGGAAACAGCAGAATTGAAATGAAACAAACAAAGAAGAGTGAGGTATCCAAGTTGACAACAGCTGGTGAGGAAGGCACTAGCTTTGGATTCAGCTCAGTTGGGGTTAGAACTGAGACAGCGTGCACTCTTTTGACTGTTTAAGAAAGGCTTTTTATGTGGTATAGAACAATAATACTGTTTATTTAGGGCTTCCTGAATGCAGGCATGGTGCTGGATATGTTAATGCAATGTTTCATTTCTTCTCACAAGAATCCCACGAAGGAGGAACCCCATGGCCCCCATTTTCCAGGTGGTGTGGCCCACGCACAGAGTGAGGAGCCCCATCGCTCCGTTTTCCAGGTGGTGTGGCTGAGGCATCCTGCCCCCACGCAGAGCTGCTCAGAAGCAGAGCCGGGATCCTCAGCTAACTCACCTAAGGCGTAAGCATGCCCTTCCCTAGATCTGCTTTGGTCTGAAGTGTGGAATCTCCCAGGAATGAGGTTTTAAGTCAAGAGGGCAGGGTCAAGATTTCTTGAATTAACTGGCAATCAGCAGGAAAACAAGAACTGAACAGGGACTTTGCACAACAGAAGGAGAATCTGAAATATCACATTATTGGAGCTTGGGCAATAAATACATGTCAAAGATTTTGGCTTCCTGAGGGTGTTTGTCCAAAGTTTACTTCCCTGAATATGAAGAAAGAGCAGGTTAGGTTAAATAGTGGTTTGTGACTGTGGATGAGAAGGAAGGAAAACAGCCTCTGGACCGTACCTACCTTTCTCTGTCACTCAGCTGATGGGGCTGACCTACCTTTCTCTGTCACTCAGCTGATGGGGTTGACAGCTGCTCCTTGCTTATTCTTGTTCACTCTGCGGCTGGTTTCAGGGACACAGGTTGAGTCAGTGACACTCACACAGCTCACGCGGATCCTTCCACCTTGTCTAAGCTGATCATTTGCTTTAACCCTGTTATAAAGTGTAGTTGAGGACACATTCTAACACATTCTCCTGGGGACACTGGGTCCCGGGCTGTACCCCAGACCTACGATTTGCTGTAGACTCTCCGTCCACATTCTAAAACCTGGCAGGAATGGCTTTTGAGAGATAGCCCCCACATCCATAACTTGGTGGCTTTGGGCTGGAGACCTTGTTCCTTTCCATCATGGGTTAAGGCTTTGGGTGCAGTCAGTCATGGACTGTGTGAGAACATAGTACTTGTGATAACCTCTCCAAATCCCCAGGAAAGAAAACAAGCAAGGGGTTAATCCCCAGGAAGACAGTGCTTAGGAATCATCATGTTATTCCTCCTCTGCCAGTTACACTGGCTGCTCACAGTCCTTGCCTTGAAAGCCAAGGCGGGGGACACTCACGATTGCCCTGAGGGGACCCTGCAGGACCTGTGCCCTGTCCACGGTCCAGTGAAAATCACTGTCCCCTCACAGGGAGGAGCTGAAGTCTCCTTGTAGAGAAATCTGATGCGCTCTCCATCTGTCCCTTTCTTCCCTGTCACAACACATTTGTTCTCATTTCCCTATCACTTGTCAAGGTAAGTTTAATTTTGAAACCAAAGCCAGACTGGGCATTTTATATTCTTAGTGGCAAAAATCATTGTAACTATCATCAGTCTAACAAGGGGATCTGGAGAAGACTTTTAAAAATGCCTGTAATTAGTAAGAGTCTGAACTTTGCAAATAGATTGGTTCAAGTTCCAAGGCATACATTTAAAACCTTCGGCCACAAAGTTAACCTTGCTCAGTTTTAGTCTCCATGAATGAATGCAGCAACCCTGTGATACTACTGTGAGGATTTATTCAGATATCTTTCATAAATCTTTAAGTATAGAACCTGGCCCATAGTACACATATTCACACTGGATGCTCATTACAGACACTGCCACCAAGCCTGAAGACCTGAGTTCAGTTCCCGGTACCCACATGGTGGAAGGATGTTACAAGTCACCCTCCGATGCTCTCAATCTTGCTGTGGCGCATCTGCCTTCCCCAACAGAAACATGCTTAGAAAACGTACAAGAGGAAAGCTGACTCCTGCATGCACACACAATGACAGTGATGATGTGATAACAATAATGAGTAGACTTACCTGACAACATGGCAAGCTGGGCGTTAGCACGCGAAGGTTCTGTCTTGTTTATACCGTATTTGCTCTTTCCCAGTGTGTTTGAGCATTGCCACAAGCAGCTTCGAAAAAGTTAAAATTTAGCCTCAGCAGTGCTGATGGAGAAGCAGAGAGGTTGCATTGTAAGCAGACATGAGAGTGAATCTGGAAGGGGAAGGCCTCGTCTCGGGGGCTGAGCAATAGGCAGCTAAGGATTGGGCTAGGATCCTGAGCAGCCAGCCAGGACTGTGCTGGCTTCTGGACCCCAGAGATGAAGGACAGTTTATTTATTTTCTATTTTCTTTTTTTAACCCCCTGAAGGACAGTTTATTATTCCAGTGTTTTTGTGGCTTCAGCCTGCCTTTCAGTACTGTAGGTTCCCATGGAGTGGTGGTTGTTGTCAGCAATGGTGTGTGGGGGTTGTTATCAGCACAGGGTGTAGTGGCTGTCGTTGTCAGCAGATGGGGTAGTGGGGTTGTTGTCAGTGAGGGTTATTTTTAGCAGATGGCATAGTGGTGTTGTCACAGACAGTCACGTGGTTGTTGTCCGCAGATGGGGTAGTGGGGTTGTTGTCAGTGAGGGTTATTTTTAGCAGATGGCATAGTGGTGTTGTCACAGACAGTCACGTGGTTGTTGTCCGCAGATGGGGCAGTGGTGTGGTGTTTAGAAAGGATCCAGCTTCCCAACATGCTGGTGTATCTCTCCTGTTACAAATCCTTCTCAGGCATCTTCATGGACTTGCACAAATCTTTCAATTTCACTTCTCTCTAGAAATAAAGAGAAATAAAGGCCCTTTCATGTCTGTTAGCCACATTGACTTCTTTCCCTTAACACAATGCTCATATTTCTGTTTCCACGCTGTGCACCAGACACTACAGTCAACAGCTCCTTCGGAACACTGTTCAAACCACAATCAATGGAAGCCCAAGGCTAGTTGACCTTCTGTTTGTCAACAGAAACACAAAACTAACTGGGTGATTAGCCAAAATCATCAGTTCAAATTGAGTTGAGCCTTGCACAGTAAAGCCGCCCACTTCTAAGAGAAAGTGAGGGAATGATAGGAAGAGGGGAACTCTCCAGAGCCCTTGATGACGTTCTAGAGGACAGCATATCCATCCATAAATCAAACCAAGCCCCATCCAAAGCAGTAATCCCAAATTAGAATTCCTAGATGTGCAATCATGAAAGTTTGATTACTTAATTTCAAAATTCCAAGAAAGTCAACAAAATGTAAATGAGTACATATGAGGACTGAACTAGCATGACAACGGAAATCTCCCCAACAGCTGAGATATGACCAGGAAACAAAGGTGAGGAGGAGGAGGCTGAGAAAAACCTGGACGGCTCTCCAGGAGACCAACAGGATGTGGAAAGGGGTCCTAGAAAGTGGAGAAGTGACTGACTTCAGTTAAAAGGGCCCATCCAGACCCATAATTGGTGAGAATACTGTATTGCGAGCATGAAAGAGCGCTATTAAAAGTTTCAGGAAGCCAGGTGGTGGTGGCACACACCTTTAATCCCAGCACTGCATAGGCAGGCGGATCTCTGTGAGTTCGAGACCATGCCTGGTCTATAGAGTGAGTTCCAGGACAGCCTCCAAAACAATACAGAGAAACCCTGCCTCGAAAAAAAAATGTTTCAGGAAGAGGGCTGGCAAGACAGTGCAGCAGGTAAAGGGGTAGCCCAGTCCTGTGCTGGAGGACAGAGCTGCCCCTGCCCCTCCTGCTAGTCCAGTCCTGTGCTGGAGGACAGAGCTGCCCCTGCCCCTCCTGCTAGTCCAGTCCTGTGCTACAAGAGAGAGCTGGCCCCTGCCCCTCCTGCTAGCCCAGTCCTGTGCTGGAGGACAGAGCTGGCCCCTGACGTTCCTGCTTTGACCTCATATGTGCTGGATTGTAGGCATGAACCACCATCCCCAGTGAGTTTTAGATTTGGACAGAAATGATTTGAACATATGCCAGATGGGTTAAAAGTGGAAATGTTTTAGGCACAGAGGATAAATTATAAGAGTTCTTCTATATAGTTTTTTCCTAGGCATTGCTGTTGTGCTTAGAGATAGGCACAACAGGAATCCCAGCAAGAGCTCTCTGGGAGGACAGCGACAGAAACCCTGAAGACGATGGTTTCTCTGAGTATTTCAATAGCCTCAGTTCTGAATGAAGAGAAGCCACACCCCAGGGCCATGAAAGCAGGCATCAAGAGGAGGGTGGTCACCTCACATAAATGGCAGGAAGACACTCTACAAACATGATTACAATTCACTGCCAATAAGATGGTGACCAAAGTCGTCTTCTTCAAACATGGGAAATAAATGACCATCTGATATTCTGGGAAATGAAGAATTATTCCAGAAAGTTGAGGCCTTAATATGAAACAATTGAGATTCTGAAACATTAATGGTGTCTACCAAACAGCAATGGGTCTTCTAAATAAGTACAGAATTTATTACATGTCCTTGTTAAATACGACTGTGCCTTTTGACTTCCCAAAGAAGTTTTCCCTGTTCTTTAAAGATCAGCTTTTACATAATAAGTTTTTGAAGAATTACTTTGTGTAGCTAACTTAGGTGTAAGGTTTTACTGTCATTTTCATTCTCTCTCACAAACTAGAACAAAAGCATTTTAAAAATTGTTATGTACCCACTGTTACCTTTGATTTTGCTTAAACAATTATCTGAAGCTCAATATATAGAAACTTAAATTTCTGGACATTAAGAAGTATAACTAAAGTGTCCAATAACCCCAGCTTTATTGTAAGCTATTTGAAAGGTTCCTTAGTAACTAATAGCTCTTATGTTGAAAGAATATATCTCTTTAGGTTAAACATGTATTTTTATTTTATGTGCATGGGTGTTTTGTCTGCATGTACATCTATGTCCCTGGAGGCCAGAAGAAGGCACCAAATCCTCTGCAACTGGTTACAGATGGTTGCTAGCCACTAAGTGGGTGCTGGGAACCGAAGCTGGGTCCTCTGGAAGAGCAGCCAGTGTTCTTAACCACCGAGCCATCTCTCCAGCCCATATCCCTATAGTCTAATTCAATTACATTTTTATATCAAGGCCAAGTCAAAATAAACAGAAAATGTTTAAAGGAATGTTGACAGAAGTTATCAATAGGTGTAATTTGAATATGCATGCAAATCATATATGTATGTGTATTTTACCTAGTTTCCTATCAATAATAAATTGCTTTTAAAACAAGAAAAGCTTCATGTAATTTAATAAGAAAAATTATTCTTCCTCACCATGAAGTCCTCTTAAAACTCACTCCTTCCAACAACCGCTCACCTCAAATTTGCGGGCATTTTTGCTTTTTACTTTCATTTCTATTTGTTAGAGATAGGGTCTTTGTATGTGGCCTGGGCGGTCTCAAACGCTGATTCCTCTTGATCGTGTCTCCTCCCAGTTCTGGGATTACAGGTACCAGTGGCCCCGCCTGCCGGAAACTCGCTTAGATGGAGACAGCCCGTTTTCTCCTGGCCAAGTTCAGCCCAGCCTCCAGTCACAAGGAGCAGGAGCAGGAGGGTGTCCTGGGCTG